GACGGGCGCCGATCAGATTTATCAACGGCAGCCGTTGTCGGGCCCGGCCTCCTAAAAGTTCGGGTACTGGCCAGTACCACGTCGAAAATAGGCTCGGAGGTACTGGTGGTTTAATTTCCCCCCATCTTTTCTCCTTTGGACACATGCTAGGCTACATACGTTCGTCTCGGTCAAAGAGAAGCCAGACGCTTCCTGCTTGACTGCCTGCACGGGTCCAACAATCACATTAGCTGCTGTGGGAATCTGATGCGTGTCCTGGGGTCATCCTCGTGACGTTATACACATGGCCACATGCTATTGCATTTTCCTTTGCTTATGCATTCCATCAGCCTTGTGCTCTATGCTTCATTGATGTCTGTGGGGGTGGTGGATGTAGGGGTGGGTGAAGGTGTGATGATGTGGGGGTGTGGGTGTGGGTGTGTGTTGGGGGGGGGGTGGTGGTGTTGGGTGTGTTGAGTGTGTCGGGTGTGTGTGCGTGTGTGTGTTCTCAAAGAACCCCAAACTCTCTCTCCCATTCCATCCACAAATCATCACAAACCATCCATAAAACAAAAACAAAAAAGTGTAGATAAGCAATATAATAGTGGAAAGATGCAAGGTTGGGCACGTTTGTGTGGTTAAGCGCCACTTATAAGCAGGGAATGACATGAGCTGCTGCATGACTGCAATGACATGAGCATTCTCGTCGTGGCCGGGTGACTCAGAAGTAGGGAATGCTGAGTTGCATGAAAGGGAGTATGTCTGTGTGCGAGAATTGCCGACGCGTTCGGGTGTTGTGGGTGTGGAGTTGAGTGAGGTGTGTGTCGAGTTTGGGCACTACAGCCTTGCAGGGGTGGGGTGGATATCATGACCGGTATGGTTCCACTTTTGAACACCGTGTCCTGGCTGTAGTGGTTAAGAGACTTGGCTCGTGAGGCCGAATTCGCCAGTTCGAATCCATGCATGCACGGAGGAGGGCTTAGGCCCGTTTGAGGATGGATCCGTATAAACAAACCGTGGAAGGCTCCTGTGAACTGCCGGGTAGCTAAAAGAGCCTGGTACAGTGAGTGGGCTAAGTACCGGTAATGGATGGATGTTGATTAGAGTGATGCGTGCTCAGTTGGAGCTAAGGGTACGAGAATCGTCGACACGTTCATGTGTTGTCCGTGTGGAGTTGAGTGAGGTGTGTGCTGAGTTTGGACGCTACAGCCTTGCAGGGGTGGGGTGGATATCACGACCGGTATGGTTCCGCTTTTGAACACCGTGTCCTGGCTGTAGTGGTTAAGAGACTTGGCTCGTGAGGCCGAAGTTGCAGGTTCAAATCCGTGCGTGCACGGAGGAGGGAGGGCTTGGGCCCGTTTGAGTATGCATCCGTCTAAACAAACCCTGGGTGGGAGGGAGGGAAGTTTAAGGGTAATGTATATGAGTGGGTTTTGCATAGCTACCCCATGGGGAAATGCGGCACCTTTTTCTGGATGGTGAAAAAAGCTGCAGTGGTGATGAGCAGTGAGTTTTTTGGGGATGGCATGTAGCAGGGTTGGTTGCTGTAAGGGCTGCTGTCATGATAGTAATATAAGCTTGACCACCTCTTTGGACTCTATAGGTGGTACTTCATGCGCGGAGGGGTCGTTTTGGCATAAGTCGCTTTTGGGTGTTTGAAAGGAGCAGTGTTTGCAATGGTATGGTCATACCACTGCTAATGCGGCCGATCCCAGACAAACTCGGAAGCAAAGCGCCTTTGGGCCGGGACAGTACTGGGATGGGTCACCTCCTGGGAAGTCCCGGTTGATGTAGCTACTGCTTGAAAGGCAGCAATTTTCGGACTCCAATCTGCCAGTCCCCTGGAATACCTGCCCGCTGCAAAACATGCATGCATTAAAAAAGGAAAAAAAAGAGAAAAAGGCGTAGTGTTTGCATCGGTGCAAAATCGGTGCTGCGTACTGGGTTTTGGCAAGGCAGGCAGGCAGGCAAGGTTGCCTTGGGGGTGCGGTCTTTAGTCTGCTGACCCTTGTTCTTTGAAGGGGTTGTGCTGGAATTCTGGGGTCCATTTCAGGTTTTTTGGTATGCGATTGGCCATTTTGAAATGGTATGGTATGCCCAATATGCCAGATTTTTGTTATGATATCATTGCGCAGGGCCATCAAAAATTGATCTGTGCTGGAAGACTGTTGGTTGCTGTGTTGTTCTTTTTTGATTGATTGCCCTCATGTGTTGTGTAGGTGTTGTAGATGAGTTAGATGTGGCGGACGACGTTATTATGGTGATAACAGTCGCAGAGGGAAAACGATCACTGCCAATCTTCAATGAGCAGGCCATGGGTGAGAACGGGAAAGCAAGTCTTTTCTTCAAGAGTTACGCCTCCAAATGCTCAGGTGCCTCTTCTTCCTCCACAGAGCATACCTGAGAAAAGCATGATTTCGTCACCAGAACCTGCCAACATGGACTCGTCGGAAACCTGGTAAATAAGCAGCCCTCGCTGATGCTCTCAGGAGTCAAGCTATTGCCCCTTTTCAGAGACTTCTTATCCTCCTGGGTGGAAAACCCGGTTATTTTCTTTGGTTGATTGATTGATCGATTGGTTGATTGATTGATTAGCTCGTTTGGTGGGTTGGACGGTTGACGCACTTGACGAGCTATCAAATTTTTTGACAGCTTGTCATACAAAAAAGTCACATTTGGGAAGCACTGTTTTTTTTTTTTTTTTTTCAGCTCCAGATTGTGGCAGAGGCTGGATGCTAGGCCTCGGGAGGTGGCTGTCGTTGTGCTCAACGAGCGGGGAGATCAGACGGTTTGTGACAGCTTGTTGGGGCCATTTCTCGATTTAGGTGTGTCATCCTTGTGCAGGGGCCATGCTAATCTTCCCTGTATCGTTGAAATTTGAACAGATGTCCGAATGAAGGCATTGGTTTGCTAAATCAACATCATACAACAAGATTGTATCATGGGTTCAATTCCCATTTCCTCCGCTCCACCGGGGGAATAGTTCAAGTGGTCGAACGCATGTTTTGCAAGTATGAAGTTATCGGTTCAAGTCCGATCGTCTCCAATTTCCCCGTGAGCCCACATAGCTCAGGTGGTAGAGCATTCCCTTGGTTTTTCCTTTTTTGCAATTCTTACCAATTTAATAATTTATCATTTATGTATTCTTGGGAGTCACTGTCGTTTCGTTGGTAACTAGTTCGCTGTTTTTTTTTTTTTTTTCCAGTCTTTGCAACGAATACAGCTCATGTTTGAGGGCTAGTTTCGATCTGCTCCCTCCGCCTTCACAAGGAAGTCAAAGCGAATGGCAATTGTGAAACAACTGTGCTTGAGATTTTTATCCGGTGTCAGGAACAACAGCGTGTTTCAAGCATGCAACAAAAACGGGTCTCCATGGTGCGAGGAGAGCCCGCTGTTTCATCCCTCACTTGCACTTCAGCATCTGCTTTTCCTGCGTGCCATTTTCATGACTGAGGTGGGATCATATGAACCTGCTTTACTAAATGTAAGGACAAGCTAGCAGCCGACCTCGCTGGTTCGCGCCTGAGTTTTTGTCCAATACCAGGAACGGCAAAGTGTTTCAGCGGGCTGTCTGCTGTCGGGTGAAACACTCAGTGAGCTGCAGAATGTACCAATGGGGGGCTCCAGAGGCATCAGAGGTGGGCCAGGATCCAATCAGCAGCTTATCTCCCTTCTCCTTGCCTTATTCGTAGTATCTGGCAGTTTTCAGTATGGGATCTGAGAGGGAACTAAGGGACAGGCAAGCTGACAGTCAATCCTCCTTCAAGGAGGAATGAATGCTGGTCAGGGGTCCTTCGGCCCTACGGAAGGAAGCGTGAGCGTGTATATTGATGTATTCATTCTTGACTTGCCGGGGGAATAGGAACCGGACTGATGCTCCCCAGAATGGAAAAGGAGCCAGGACCATAAGGACCTGTTTAAAAAATAAAAATAAAAAAAATGCAGCAACAAAAGGGTTTTCAGCTTCGCAGTGCTCGGCCAACTCCATGCCAGGTGAACAGAGTCCACCCTATCTTTGATTAACTTATAATGTGTTCGATGTTCATGACGGCCCACGCTCTCATATTCACTGCCATCATCATTGCAATTAGAACCTAGAAAAGAGTGAGAAGGAGATTTCTGAAAGATCGAAAGAGCTTCGCAAAGCTGCGAAAGGGCTTCTTCTCTTGCTTGCCATTTTGTGATTGAGGTTAACTGTTGGCTGGCTTTTATGTATGCAAATGCCAATCATTAAACCAAGGCTACCAGAGGGTGCCGGGGGGGACCACTCACCCGGTTGGGTCACCAAAAAAAAAAAAAAAAAAAAAAAAAAAAAACTGTTTTGAAATTTTAATTAAAAAAATTATTTTAAATTTGGTAGATGTGACCCTGAGGCAAAAGTTGTTCAGTTTATTTTTCTGCATCACATAGTTTTTTTCCCCTTGTCCTTGCACGGCCGGGCAGCCCGGGAAAACAGGCGACCTGGGCGGGCCGGCTGGTAGCCCAGGTTTAAAGTTTAAACCATTCTTATTTCACAATGTCACAGGTGAAAGGGCTTACTTGCTTCTGATGTTGGTGACAGTGGCACACTGTTTTTTTTTTTTTTTTTTTTTTTTTTTTTTTTTTTTTTTTGGGACAAACAACCCGAGTGAATGCTAGGAGTGCTGATAGGAGCAGACACCACTAGCATGCTCGAGGAGGCTCCATCTATTAGTGGGGAGCGGCACCTGCTGGAAATCGGGTCCAGCGTCCCTCAACAATTATAACCAGATGTTCCGTTCTCCTCCCGTAATCATGTCAATATGCTACGTGCCGATCCACAAAATGTGTGCGTAATCACCCGAAGCGACACAGTAGCCCGCTCTATCTGAAGAGCAGCATTGATTGCCCTCAAGCGAGGGGATCAACTGCTCATCACGGTTAAAACAAAATTCCTGTCCCGAACCCCCCACCGCCCGGTTATGAAGACATTCGCAGCGCAGTGAAAGGAAGAGGCAATCAGGGCAGTAGGCTATATGAGCTTATTGTAACCAATTCCGAATTCATATTGTCTCTCACAAGTTTATCCTGAAGCCTCCCTATCCCCCCACACTCCTCAGGAGCAGTGATTCACGTTACAAAAAAGGGGGGCTGTTCCATTCTCTCGAGAAGACATCTCCCATCTTCGAAACCCTCATCAAGATCTAACACGCTCTCACACAGCAAAAGAGGGGAAGGGTATTTGAAGAAGGGATGTGCAGTTTTACCCTGTTGAAATTATCAATCACATCAGTGCGGAAAAACAGAGGCACAGCTTACTACATCAAAATTGTCTATTACCTCAGTGCGGGAGAGCAGAGGACCGACAAAGGAAATGGCACCTCAATTTCCGCACTGAACTTACCCGTCTCACGCGGCAGGAGAAAAATTCCACGGTCGTCCCTCCCCTGCCACGTGGCACATACTCAACTACATGAGAAGGCCTATTATGAGAAAGCCTATTATTATAGAAAGCCTATTATGAGAAAGCCTATTATTATAGAAAGCCGCAAAGGGGTCCACATCGCAAATATTATTTAGAAAGATAAGCGATAGAAGCATGTTCTCGCTATCATGCATCCCCTGCGGCGCTGCTCCAGTCGTTCACCACCCAACCCCACCCGGATCCCATGAACGAAGCAGAATGACGTTCCGCACAGTCGATGAGCCCCGAATCATTGTAAACATGCCCAAAGACGACCCCCCTCCAAGAAGCTCACCTCTCCCGCATATAGCAACGGGCATACCCCCCCCGAAATCATTACTATGACTTCCATTGCTTACAACTTGGCCGTCGCAGAAACATGCACGGAGCTCACCTTCTTCGCCGGTATTATGGTGGTTGCCAATGTTGTTGTTGTTACTGCAATCGTCACTGCTAATGTTGTTTTCGTTGGCTGCTTTGTTGTCAACACCCTCCCCACACCAATCACCTTCAATACCGGCGCGATTGTCGTTGTTGTTATTGTTGGTGCTGTTGTTATTGTTGTTTTCCTCGCACCTGACCACACAAAAGTGCAGCTCTCCGTTGTTGTCGTTGTTGTTGTCGTTGTTGTTGTTGTTGTTGTTGTTGTTGTTGTTGTTGCTGCTGTTGTTATCATCGCACAAAACCGCAATCCCCCCTCCGCCCCGAGAGCACTCTTCGACATCCACAAGCGAACGCGCCTCCAGTTCACCACAACAAACCTGCCTCTCCTCAGGCTCCTCGCGDCTAATTCCGAGCTCGTTGTTYGAAAGAGCAATTGGAACACCCACGTCATCGMTTGCATGCAAGCGATYCCRCGTYGTAGYGCCAGGCACTTGCCCCTCCWCAAGCCCCACACAGCTACCCTGTTGCGAACCTCCACATGTCGTCTTCACATGCAGCCCCTCCCAAAGCTCTACGAAAACTCCTCTCAATTTCCTTATCATCTCAGCACGATCGCCCATCTCAGCTGTCGCCTGTGCTCTCTCGGTAATACTCAATAGTTGAAGAGAAAAATTCGCGCGGATCTCCTCGTCCCATCCGTTGAGCACTTCCTCCCCCTCATCTAAAAGCTCCGCTGATAAATCCTGTTGACGGTGAGTAAGCACATCATAGAGCTCCTCCATCTGTCGTTTGTGCATCCTCACCACCTCCAGCGGCGCCTCCTCCTCTTCCAACAGACCAGCAGCCACTTCATCCTGCATGATTGCCGCCTGCATCGCCATCATTAGTTTATGTGTGAAATATTATGTCGTGAAAGCCGCCCCCAGAACTCGCGCACTCTCAATACAATCTAAACTTTCAACTCCTTGCCCCGACGTGCCGTTGCGTCAAGATGCCACGTGGAGTAACCCCACTTACGCCCGTGCCTAAACACCAAGCGGGCTCCAATACAACCAAGCGCAGCTATGGCGCTCACAGAGAATCGCCACTTCTGCCCCAGTCTGCGGAGTGCGGCCGGGCCTCGCCGACCGGTCCGCAGCGCAGATTAGCGCTAACAGCGCGAGTTACCACTTGCTTTCTGTCCTGCGTGGCACACTGTTTTTGCGAACAACTTTTCCCTATCTTTGCTTTGTTGCCATTCCTGTGGCACATTGACATCGTATCTGAGACTTCCTTTTTTATTTATTTATTTAAATTTTATATAAACACCCCGGGTTTGGTAGGGGTGCTGGTATGAGCAGACACCCCTAGCAACCCCTACGACCCCCCCAATAGATCGTACAAGAGACGTTGTCGGCCTGTAAACCAGGATTGTAAGACTGGATTTCAGTGTGAGGATTCAGAATCTTCAGACTGTTCACCATTAGCCATCCAGTCTCAGCCAAATGAACACCTATGCCAAACAGGAACGATAGCGTGGACAATTCTGTTGCATAAGGCTGCCCTTCTCTTTTTTTTTTTTTTTCCTCTTAGCGCTTGCATTACAGTGCAGTGCCCTTGTTGTGATGTTAAAACAAAAGAAGCGGTGATGCCTAGCATCCATGGAGCTTGACATCCCAGCGTTTTGTTTTAACATCAACAAGGATGTCTAGCTTGGATTACTGTCCTTAGAGCTATAAGGCAACCACTCTTTGATAATCCAGGGATAAGGGATGATGGCCACCATCCATGGACGCAAACCTCTAAGGACAGTACTTCATATCGTACACAGTGAACTCGGTGCGTTCACTGTGAAAGTAAAGCCTCGCGCACTGACTTCTTATTGCAATGGTGCACTCACTATGGAAGTAAAGGCCCGCACACTGCGTTCTTTTTGCAATTGTGCACCTCTAAGGACAGTAGATGACTGTCATGGGTCAGCCATGGGTAAGGGAATACAATCGGTTAAGAAAGTCACATAGGGAACGAGGGAAAAAGAGATCGGTTGAAGCAAAATGAACTTTAAAAACCCTTATCAAGAGATGTAGTCAATGCAGTTAGAACCTACCGGTGGGGGGTAGAAATTAACAAAATACTGAAGTAGTTAAATACCCCCATTTGCACCCCTCAATGGAACTGAAAGCTGGAAAGAGCTTCTCAAAGAGGAATTCCCCTGGAAGCCAGGGGAGTGGGGGCTAGAAATTAACGGAACACCCCCAAACTGGTCATATTATTTCTCTCACATAGACGTGAGATGTTGAGAGATGAGAGAATGACTGACCGGCTAAATCAGCCACGGTAAGGCCTCAACGATATACCCAATAAAACATTCTCACACGCATGCCAAATAAGCCATGAAAGCGAAAACGATGAAGCTCAAAAATCGTTCCAAAGAGCTATCTGAGATAGACGTAAACAAAAACATTGCTCATGATCAACCCACATGAGAGCCGAAGCCTCATACCACCAATCCATCCACAGTCTGGTGGCCATTCCCTACGTAGACGTGAAGCCGGTAACTTCTCTGTTGTGTTCGAAGTTCGAACCTTTTCCCAATTTCCCAAAACATCAGTTGCTCCAACTTCTATCTGACGTCTATTTTGAACAAAGACCCAGAAGAAGTCACCCTTAAAGTGAGAGTGATGGGGGCTGTCACCAAAATAATATACTTCAAACTGGATCACCGATCCACGAACCGGAGTTTGATCCAGCAGAATGGGGTTGGCACTTAGGAAAGGGCAGAAGACGCCATACAGTCATACCACTAACAGAATATACAGTCAAATTGAGATATTATGACATGCTACTCAAGGGCAGAAGAAACCATACCGTCGTACCACGATGGAGGTAATGAATGCCGCCCTCTCGGGTCTCCCTGCCATAAAGGGGAGAAGCGTTGAGTGTGTTGTCCTCTGTACTTTGACTTGCCAGTAGAACAGGAACCGGACTGACACTCCCCAGAATGGAAATAGAGCCAGAGCCATGGCACTCTGTTCTCAACGCCCCCCACCCCCCCACAAAAAAAAAAAAAAAAAAAAAAAAAAAAAAAAAAAAAAAAAAAAAAAAAAAAAAAAAAAAAACCGATGCTACTCAAGACAAAGAACCCTGCATCTACTGTCAATTGTAGAGAGAGCAGGTTAATGGAGGCCCGCAGGCAGAAATTAGAGCCCAATGGTCTTAAAGTAAAATTGCAATTCAAACTATGACTCAAAAACAGGATATTAAGAAGGTACTCCAGAAATTTCAAACAAATTGGCTGGGGGAACGATCAGAAGGGAAGCTGGGAGAAGTGAAGTGGCCAAGGGGGGAAGGAGATGGAGGTTTCAAGAGAGACTATGATATCTTCTCCCACAACTGGTTCGATCTTCAACCAGGAGCCTTTTTGAGATCGCCTGATTCGTTCTGTGACCTCTTTCCTCTTCCAGACAATGTGATGGTGGATCTCAGATGGTTTGGGTTAGATATATCATGAATCGTGGCTCACTTTAACTAGTTCGGGGGGTTGAGTTTTTAATGATCTATTCTTTTTTGTTACTCTGGATATAGGGGAAGGTATGATAAAATTTTGCTCGAAATTCCAGCATTATAGTTTATCTTCATTATCTTGATTAAGTGGGTAGAATTGCTAGGTTGACTCCATTTATCTGGCGGCCTAGAACGGCTGAAGAGGCAGGTTCTACTCTCAATTTATGATTCTTGATGGAACTTATGGGAACTTTGAAAGGGACGCTGGACCCGTTTTCCAGCAGGTGCAGCTCCCCACTAATAGCTGTCTCTTATACACATCTAGATGTGTATAAGAGACAGGGCGTAGGGAGGCTATGGAATACGGGGCAAGAGCCTGCCACCTATGGAACCATGCAATGACTTGCTGGTTCCAGTGGCCTGCAGCCTCTCTTGTCGACGCTGTACTATAGGTAGGATAGATTCGTAATTTTGTTTGGCTGAGGGCTAACCGAGAGACCTACCTGTAGGGAAAATTCTTGAGGGACATATCTGTAAATTTGGGAAAACACAGGCCCGTACTAATTGAAATTACCTACAGCGACCCTAACTGCGAATAGCAGGCCCAGGCTACCTCTAGGACAGACAGGCCCTAAAGGCCTTTGCTGATAGACGGTCCTATAGCCTATAGCCGGACAGGTAGAGGTCGAGAGACCGAAACTGAAACGGTACCGGTCGGTCCAGTCAGTCCGGTCTAGGTCGTGTCTAGGCTAGTGTAGGTTATAGATAGGATGGGGACATCGGCTCAGGGCTTTTGGCGGTTGGTACCGTGTACATCGTTCCAGAGCAACGCATGAACTGGAAGTGGTGACAGCTTCAGCGTTGGTGGAGACGGACATAGCCAGACCTACTGTGCGTCGGCCATAGCTGGGACCTTCACTGTAGTCTGACAGCACGCGGGGCTGTACAGAGGTCTGGCCTATTCGAGGTCTGCTGGAGGCGAGAGAAGTTGGTGCCCTGCTGGACCCTCCTCAGGAGTAGGGTGTCAGGGTGTGTGACACTGCAGCTTGTCTTCCTCAGAGATCATCTTTGTCAGGAGTGGTGGCGCTGCTGCACACTTCCACCTGGGAAGTCATCTGGCACTTCATCATCATCAGACATTGTGGCACTGGTCTTCTTCTTCATTGTCTGAGTGGCGCTTGGCCTCAGAGGCCTGTTTCGGGGTGGCGATTCCCTCTGGAGGCAGTATTTGGGTGACGCTTGATGTTTCAGGGACTCAGGGGTAGTTCTAGCGGTTATTCAGGGTTGGGGAGTGAAGCGCTGCTCATTCCTTAGCAGTGCACCATGGTTTTGGGGTTATTCTGACATTTTGAGACTCTTGAGTTTAATAAACAGTGTTGATACTGTGTTGGGACTATCTTTGCTTCATTGTTTATTGGATGTGATCTACTCGGCTTTCCTTTGTGGCTAGTTGTGAGGATTCTGTGGAGCGAATTGCACTGTCAGTGCTTTTTGACATATCGCATGGTCAAGTCTTCCACTGTGTTTATTTCTCCCTATGCGGTGTGATTCTCCCATCCTCTCCCATCCTCTCCCCTTCCTTATGTGTATGTATGGGCATAGAGTGTTGGTCATTTGACAACAAGCAACCAGGATCATAACATTTGGTATCAGAGCGATTGGATCCAGACAGTGAAGCGATTGATGAGTTGGAGCAACTACCACTATCTCGCGAGACATTGGAGTTGAATTTCATAGCGATTTGTCATCTTCAGGGTTGGCGACAGTGAGGGTGGTGGTGGTGAGTGTGTGGCGAGAAGTATTGGACAGAGGGTGACACACTCCTGTGTAGGGTTATGCAGGAGTGAGTGGCGATTGTTGCTCTGAGGCCTGAGAGGCTCTATGGAGGCTATTTTCAGCCTGGCGACTCGTTTGGAAACTGGCGATTGGTAAGGAAGTGATCCCAGGGTGTTGCGATTATGGAATTGGGTTAGGATCCCCAATTTCCAAGCAACGCAGTACAGGGTAAAGTGGCGAAGTGGCGCTGCACCGAGTTTCGCAGTTATCAGGAGTCCAGATCAAGTGAATCTGTCAGTTGTGGGTGAAGCGCCTCAGGGAGAACTACAGGATCAACAAGTTTGAGGAAGTTTGGTACGTGGAACACTGGTAATCATCAGAGATGAAATTGGCGAGATGGGGTTGAGCAGACAGTCATAGCCAGGGTTACACTCATCTTCTTAAGAGATGTCCTTGAAGTAAGGGTGTTCCCTACTCTACTCTGTGTGGCGATTTTTGAGCTATTTTTAGAATAGCGAAATTTGTTCTGTCAGCCAATAGACAGTTGAAAATCGAAATTCAGACTGTGGGACAGACATATTCAATTTCCCCTACCTATCTTCTTTGAGTTCTACTAACCCGGTTTGACCCTCCTTCTGACTCAATTTCCATTTGTGACTGCTCTACAGTGTTGCGGTTCATCATGTACTGTGAATTGAATTGTTCAGGGTCCTGCTGTCAGCAATATTGGTGATTTGAGTTCTGCCTGCCATAGCTGAAG